CTGTAGCAGAGTACCCTATGCTTCTTTTTTGTTGAAATGGACTATTAGATTTCCAGTCTTTTGTTCATGCAAAGCTTTATTCCTCTTATCTTTTCTCCTCGTGTCTTTTTTACCTGATGCAAGACTTACAGGTCCATGTGCAGATTGATTAATTCAATATTTAAGATGATTGCGTTGCAACTGAATGCTGGCTTTCTATCGATGTGTTTTTTGCTGGGGTTGGCTTACGGTACAAGTCTATGGGTCTTTTGTGTTATAAAGTTCGGGACATGGCTCAGTGGCCTTGACACAATGTACATGCCATGATAGCTGGGAAGGCAAAACCTCAGTGGTGACATGACCCAACACAAGTTTTCACGTGGCTCTTGTACCAAGCACAAATGGACTACTTTAGCAAATGTCTATGAAAAACAGATAGACAGCTGAAATCATACAAGGCGCTATAGCTCATTAGAATTTGAGTAAAGCTTGTGTTTGTACATCTAATAGTACAAGGTTAAGGGCTGGACTAATTTTGTAGCAGTGAAAAGGGACCTTAGCTTATAAGAATCCTTCCTATTCCTGCACATATCTTATACGTGATTGGCTGTTACCTATCACAGAGGATCTCCAAGTTGAGTTCAGCATTAAAGGCTCATAGCACAATCATAAAGAATATATGTGAAAGGCAAGAGTTTGGTGGTCAAATCATAAAGAATTAAGTATCACTACAACCAATCTTCTTGGACATCTTGATTTTCTGTAATCTGCAAGGAAAATGGCGGATGGTATCACAGATATTAACATTTAGCATGGATGAGTAGCATAGTAGTGTTCTTGGAGGTGGTGAAAGGATAGGCCTCGAGTTCAAATCACATGAATGAAAAGATCGTCACTGCCAATTACTTGCAGTGGAGTACGACCTTTAATGAAATTTATGTTTAGGATAGATGAACATCTTCATATGATTATTATGTCAAATAGAAGAAAAAATTCTAGATATTTAAATAAAAAGTCTATAGCTCAAAATCCCAATCAGCAAAACGCTGAAAATCGACACAACATTAACAGGCATAAAGGCACCAACTAGTTGAAGCAAATTCATGGTATGGCAAACAGGAACTCTCAAATATCACAATCCGTTTCCACCCACAAGTGCGATTCCATGTTCTGATGTCTACCTACCTTTCACCCCTCCACTCTTCCGCGTCTCTCTTTTATTTTCTTTACCTTTTATGATAACACATTAAAGGAAATGGCCTTTGCATATGATTTTGACTTCCATAAAGTGCCTGTTACTCTCAATATCGGAGTTGGATATTGGTCCTATATTCCCTCCAGATTCTCTAATTTGTTTGGGCTGGGAATCACGAAGACTAGATCGTTGATGAAGTAAAAAAACACAGAATACAAATGAATGGATCATGACTTTGCTTTGGAAAAGAACAATTCTTGTCTATAAAGAGAACCAAACAGCTGTTTGATAAGATGGAGATCTTTCAAGTTTCAGGCAGCGTTTGATATTGCGGTAAAGGATTGATTTTTAAAATATTTTTATTTAAAAATATATTAAAATAATATATTTTTGTTTTTATAGATTTATTTTTAATATTAATATATCAAAACAGTCTAAAAATATAAAAAAATTAATTTAAAACAATTTTTTTTTGAAAAAAAGCACTGCCAATTGTCAACTAGTTCCGGAACACAAAAATCTTGTATGATATTGTTTCAAAAAATTATTCGGTGTATCTAAATTGTGCTATGATAATGGTGATGATAAGTGATCTATATTCCCTATCTACATTACCTATCATCTTCTTTGATTCTTTGTTACCCTTCGAAATGGATTTGTAGGAAATGATGAGTGAAGTGCTGGATTATATGGATTGCCTATCGTCTTTTGCAGGTCCCTTTTGCTTGCCCTGGAAAATGCTTTCAATGGCTTTGTGAGTTGCTGTGTGTCACATTTTGCCAATCCTTTTCACTTTGGAATTTGTTTTGGCAATTTAATGGCCAAAGCAAGAGCGTATCAGATTCCAAGTCGGATGTTTTCTTGTTCAACAATGCAACTCGACAAAATTTGGGCACTTTCTGTCGTGAAGATAGAATTCTAGTCTGAAAATGTCCTGTAGTGCAGAGAGTGCGTGAGTTCATGGTTCGAAACTATTTCAGCTTCAAGTTCTAGAATCCTTTGTGGTTGTATGAAGGAAATGGACAGAGCTCTTTTGAATACACAAAGGCTAAAAGTCTCATTCTCCACAGAATCACTGACAAGGCGTCATGATCATTTGGGAACTGATTAGCTGTGCACCCGCCTTCCCTGATCAGCCTTTGCCTATACCATTTTAAGGTTCTCATATGTGGTGTGTTGCTGGTATTTGTTTTGGTGAACCAAAGCTCAGCACCCTACTTTTTCAAGATTGAGGGCTGAAACAAAATTATTGAAACTCATTTATCTCAATTCAGAAACCCTACTGAAAATAAAGATAAACATAAAAATTGTAAAATTTGTGTTTGATATTATTATAGTTTTTATAATTATAATTTTTTAAAAAAATTTATATAAAAAATATTTTTAATTGATATTATAATATTTTTAATTATTTTATTAAATTATTTATAATTTTATTATGGGCAAAATTTATCCCATAAAAATTATAATTTTCATGTTTTTTTTAAGTATATAATAAAAATAATAAAAATATTATAAAAAATAAAATTAAAATTTCAAAACGAGTAAATTTAATTTATTCTAAATTAATTTTTCACTATTTACGTTAACAATACAATAAAAATGAATTGCACTAGTTTTTTTTTAAAAAAATACTATTAATGTAAACAGTTAGAAAAACAAAACAGCTCAGAGCTGCTTTGAATTTAACTGCGCTTTAAATGCAAAACCTGATGAATTCTATCAAAAATAAATTGTATTTTTAATATCACCAAATAATTGTTCGGCTGTAGTTGCTTCAAACACGCAAACGAACAGACTCTCAGGTCTCATCACAAATCCATTGTTTTCTAATTAAGCCAGCGGGGTACAAACATTGTAACAGACCATAGTTATTGCTACCAAATGCAAGCAAACTTAAGAACCAAGTGCTTTCTCAATCTGCTCTGGCGCCTATTCTTCTCAAATCATCAATATTTCTGTACTCTACTGTATCAACAGCTGGTCCATCAACTTATGGACCTCAACAAACACTGGATCTTCCACGTTATTATTGTTCTTGTCGTGGCTGTTATGATCATGACTGTTACTATCGTCATTTCCACCACCTACTGTCTCTCTAATCTTTTGGTTAGCCTCTTTGGCTGCTTCCCGTGCACCATCCATTGTTTCCTTAGCCGCGTCCCCAATCGTGTCTGCTACTTGTGTTAACTTTTCTAACCCCTTCTTTGGCAGTGTCAGCCACAAACTGTGTTGCTCCTACTCCACAATAAAAATGAATTGCACTAGTTTTTTTATAAAAAAATACTATTAATGTAAACAGTTTGTATATTCATCAGGGTCTACAGCTTGTTGCTTGGCCTCATACAAGCCTTGCCTAGTTGGATCATTTGTTGCACTATAAGATTTTCCTGGTGTCCTATCTGGGCTATTTGTTTCTCTTCTTGTCTCTGCTGCTACACTGGTACCCTGAAAATTTAGCACATAATGGAAGAATAAAAAAAAAAACGTTATTAATGGTCTAGCTTAGGAACCGACCAATAGTCCCCATCGTGGAAATACATGTAATTCAATGCTAGACGAGGTTAGCCATGCTTTTCAAAGACAAACTATATGCTGTGTCTAAATATTTTAGGATACAGAGAGAGATCAATGTATAAAAAAGAGGAATTACAGCATAGAGATACTTTAGCTCGTTGAAAACCAGTGGAGAAGTAAGCCCTGTTGGCAGACACAACACAACGAGGTTGATCCAGATGAAGCTCTAGAGATGTTAATGACGGCTCTTTTTGCCAAAAATAGTGCTGCCATAGTTCCCTTCTAGGTAGATGTTTTGCTGCAGAATGTTGATTTCTTCGAACATAAACGTAGCTGAATAGTTAAAAGTGAAATAAAGAACAAGTCGGTGTGGTGCGGCACATGTAAAACTTAACATGTTTTGAGAGAATTTGACATGTTCCTTTGGGCAAAAGAGGATGATCCAAGTTGATGTGTCTTCTTTCTGAATCATGAATTCTGAAACTACCGATGTGTAAATTGTGTGTGCTAGCTAGTCAGTATCAAATCTTGGGAAACCAGAATGAATCTTAATCTGTTCATAATATTCTCCCATTTGTTCAAAACAAGTATTCTTGAAAATGAAATAATAGTGCTTCTCAAAAATATATATGGTTGAGCTTCACAAAGCTGGAAGAGAAGCAACAAGCAGATATATTATGAGATGCAGTTGGAGTGGAAAGCTGCAAAGACCCCATATTCAAATCTCAAGTTCTTACTTGACAATCATCTGGCTTTCTAGCAACTGTTATGAAGACTCTGAATCAAACATGAAACCATCTAGACAAACAGTGAATGTGGCTTGAGAACCAGAGATGAATACCCAATAAGCACAACTTACCAAGTGTGCTATCCAAAACAGTGATCTGCATTTAAAAAGCTCATCAAATTCAATGACGAAGCAGTGAATGTCATTTCAACACAAATGTAATACAATTTTATGTATCTTGCAAATGGCACCCAACCCCACCATGAAGGGTATATTATGCTTAAGATCGTGGTAAAAAACAAATCATGGTTTTGCCTCAGAGGTGGTGCAAATATCATCACTTTGTCTGATGATACGTGCAGTAAATCACATCAGAGGCAAACCATCTATTAAGAATTTATATTAAAAAAAATCTATTTGAGAAAGTGATCTAGCAAAATAAGTTCATGGAAAGAGGTTAAAGAAAACAAACATAAAATTCTTCCAACAGGGCTTAGTAATCATGCAAGAAGAAACAACTGATTAACGCACATTCAAGTTCTGCAAAACCATAAATTCAAACCAATGACACAAATAACAATTAGTAGTGTCATGATACGTACAACACACCAGAAAATGAACAATCAGTGCCTCATATTAAGGTAATTTCATTGCTGTTGCTCATAATATATCTAAACCCATAATCAGTGCCTCATATTAAGGTCATTTCATTGCTGTTGCTCATAGTATATCTAACCCCATCACAGGCACAACAAAACTTTAGTAAGTTCTTATTCACTCAAAGTTCTAAATCACTTTGATACCAAAAGGGAAAAACTTTGGGCACAGTAAGTAATTTAAATCTTAAAAAATGCCGTGTCAACACTAACTAGAGAAGCTGCAGGCAGAAGCAGACTTCAATAAATTACTTCAATTGAAATTCTAGAGCAAACCATGCTAGCTCTAGAGCCACCACAGACACTGTTGAGGCTCAACATCCAGCACATACTAATTTGTACATTAAATGGAAATTCTTCTTCCTTTTCAATTGAATTAAGAATTTGACATTGAGAAAGAACTCTTGCCATCATAATAAATATGTCAAATGAAACTAAAGCAACGTATTTAACTCTCTAAAAGAACACCAATCAAACAATAATGCATAATCTTGACAAAGAATAAGAAGCCATCCACATTACCAAAACACTAATTAATTACCTCTCATTAACCATCATAAAAAAATGAAATAAAATAAATATACGGACACAAAAGAAGATTGAAGAGCCTGTACAAATGCATCAGATCTGATGATTCTTATTTTGACAGCATCATCATTCTCCAGAAAGGAGTGGCTGATTGTTGGTCTTGTTTATCATCACTTGCAATATAAGCTCTAACAAATTGAAAAAAAAAAAATTCAATTCTTTAACTATCCCAAACTTGCTAGGGGGGAGAAATAATATGCCTATGATTTGGATTTTTTTCATGGATATAGAACATGATAGCATATAAAAAGTTAACATCATCATAGGCATAGCTATAATAGAATAAATGCAACAAAATCGAGACAAGGAAACAATCTATCAAAAGCAAGAAACAATTATCAAAATTAAGCAACCGAATGCTTGCAAAAAAGCTTAGAAAGATCAAAACTTTCATATACTGGGCATTAGAGTAGCAAAACAACTTAAGAGAGCTGGTCATGAACATATTGAAAGACCAGAAAGGAAAAGAAAACTGTGGAAGTAGAGGAAAACTCTAGGTTTTGTTAAAGACAAAATCCTGCTCCGCTTGTTGCAACAAAAATGTTTACTCCCTCGAACAGCTTTGGGCCCATTTGTTTAGAATTTTAGGTTTAAGGTCCAATACAAACAACTAGACTCTAGAAGAAACTCGTGACAAAATATCAGTTAGGATAAGCTCAGCTCTGGTAAGATTCATAGTCTCTAGCTATCTAGGCCTCTTGCTAGAGCCCAATATGACATTACCCGTATCCAAATCGGAGTGCTTGTTTTCTTCGAGGTTCGAGGATGATGGATCCACGGGCGTAATCAGTCGTGTCTTATCAACCACGACGACTTTTTGACACCAAAGTTGCTCTACAAGAATTGAATTTCCATTTTCCGTCCGATTGAAATGCATGCATGCGCGAATGGACTGAAGTTTTTTGGATTTTTAAAGTTTTTAATAGGAAAAATACAATGTGATGTTATGATAACGTTTTTTATGCATGCATGAGATAGGAGGATAACAGGTAAGCTTGTCTTCTCAAGCATCTATACCTTTTACATAGCATCCTCCCTCCATGTAAAAATCTTGTATATTTGAATATCATGCCTCATCCAATTCCATTTTCTTACCAAACAAACCTAAAATTGACTTGTATGAAGACAACTGGCGATGGTAAAGAGATGTATATTTGAATATCCTGACATGATGACACTAAGGAGCTCGAGTGTACTCCTCATGTTTAATCCGTGATAGCACACACAAAGAAAAAGAAAAGGCAAAGGAAGATATAAGAATAAAAACACCAAGGAAAGTTCGATTATGGAAATTGGCGTAGAAAAAGGAAAAAGGGAGAGATTTTCGGAGCTTCAAGCTCGAGGTAGAAATAAAAAAAGGTTACGATCGAGGTGACTGAAAAAGATGGATACCAAACACTACTCAATTATTAATCTCAATCAATCCATCTGCGAAGGATCCTAGACTTTGAAAATTACAAAGATTTCATCTATATTTTATGTTCTTCCATCATAGAATATTGATTAAATGGGGTGTCCCCAATCTATACTCCCTGTATGGAACAGCAGTTTAAAAATGTTTTAAAAAAAGTAAAAAAATTAATTTGATTTATTAATTTTAAATTATTTTTTATATTTTTAGATTATTTTGATATGTTAATATTAAAAAATATTATTTTAATGTATTTACAAATAAAAAATATTTTAAAAAGTAATTGTTATTGTAATAAAAAAATTAAAAATTAAAATTTTAATATGACCCAAGAAATCTCATTCTATTTTTTTAATTATTGTTATTATTATGAGTCCTCCATTTTGTTTCCAGAATTCAAATCCTTCCGGTTTAAGATTATTAGTGAGTTTCACATCACCAATATCTGCTGCTTTTTTAGCTAGACAGAGTTTCTTCAGCAGGCTATGCTACCAAAGTCAAAAAAGAAGAGGCAGGTAACCTCGAGTAATGGCACGTCGACCTATCCTGTCAACGTGGACACCCAAGCAAGAAAAGCACGTAAAAAGTATCTTTACGGTTGCATTTTAATATTTTTAGGGTCTCTCTCAATCAAGAAAAAGCTTACCCATGATGTTTTTATGTAGGGAAGTGACAGATAATCCAATCTTTTGTTTCACAAAAGCATTTGCTACAGGGTGACCGGCAAGCTTTGCCTCTTGAAGCTTCTCAACTCGGGAAAATGTGGAGGGCGGCTAGTCTATCTTTCTGCATAAATGGCATTTAGCTGTCTTTCGAATGACATGGGTGGATGCCAAGAAAGTTTACAAGACTTGACAGTTGCAGAGATGATGCATTAACCATGTCAGAATAGAAGCTGCATTTCTGTCAATTTGTTGATAGTGGTTTGCTCAAGACGAGAACAAGCAGGCCAAAACAATAGCTAAAAGAGGGGCAATCTCCGTTATCTGCAGCATATCTAATTTCTAATTTCTATATATTCTGAGCCTTAAATGCTTGAAGGTCAAGACCTTGAATATTCAAATTCTAAAAGAAACCTAGTAAATTGATTTACATCAATATGTAATATGTGTAGCACAATGTGAAGGCTTTGATCTTCCATGGTAATATAATGGGGAACAAAAAGAAAACTGTACAAGGGCAAGGGCTAGGACAACGCATTTTATAATATGCTTATTTATAACAGAATAATACAATAGAAACTTGGTCAACATTTCAATATTATAGAAACTTGGAATGGAGTTTACTTTACAAGTATACCTTCCCATGTCCACCCCAACTGAAACTAAGAACCCTGAAACTAAGTACAGTATTATTATAGATCATTGTTGAGCAGCTTGGAATCCAATACCATCAAGCCATGAAACAACTTCTTCGATAAGGGGTCTCCGCCTAGGATCTTGGTCTAAGCATCTGCATGCAATTTCGAGCATTTCAAACAGCTGTTTCTGACGATCTTTACCCCAAATTGCTGAGTCTATAATCTCTGCCTCCCTTTTCTCGGACTTCATCTGAAACAGCCAGGAAACCAAATTTCTGCAGTTTTTTCCTTTGCAAACTTCCACGGGCCTTCTACCGGTAAGAAGTTCAAGAAGAACAACACCAAAACTGTAAACATCACCCCTGCATGTTGCCATCAATGTTTGGCTATATTCAGGAGGTATATAACCCAATGTACCTACCAAATCTGTTGTCACATGAGTATCGTAAGGACGAAGTAGCCTTGAGAGACCAAAATCAGCCAAGTGAGCTTCAAATTTCTCATCTAGAAGTATGTTGCTCGATTTCACATCTCGGTGAACTATATGTGGCTCGCAAACTTTGTGCAGATATGCTAACCCACAAGCTGCTCCTTGAGCTATCTTGAGTCTCACCTCCCATTTAAGTACTGAGGTCCCATCAACAGATTCATGCAGCCAATAATCCAAGCTTCCATTTTCCATGTACGAGTAAATCAATAATCTGTCATTACCATGCCTACAATAACCTTGAAGAGAAACAAGGTTTTTGTGTTGGGCCCTCGACAGAGCTTCCACTTCAGCCTGAAATTCACGTTCCATCTGGCCACAGTCTCCAGAAAGCCTCTTGATTGCAGCTTTTGTACCGTTGGGAAGGTTGGCCTTGTAAACCAGGCCGAATCCACCACAACCAATGATGTTTGCTTGGTTGAAGTTATTTGTTGATTTCAACAAATCTGGAACTGTGAGGTCTTTGCAATCAGAATTCTGAAAAAGCACCAATTTGGAAGACCTGAGAGCTTCAGATAACCTGTGCGGAAGACTGACTTCCTCCTCCAAATCACCAATAGAATCCCCCGCATTCCTCCTTGACATCTTGTGCAAAACAATAGCAAGGACCAGCGCAAGCCCAACTACTATAGTGATTGTTATGCTAAGAATATTGCCTCGACTGAATCTACTGTCCGAACCAGATGGGATACCAGGCTTCATCATATTATTAATGACATTACAGGGAGAGACTATTACCCCACAGAGTCCTGGATTACCCTCAAAGCTTGAGCTAGGAAAGCTATAGAACTGCCCTCCGGTGGGAATTTGTCCCCTCAAGTGATTATTAGCCACGCTAAACTTCGACAGGAATGTCAGCTTCTCGAGCGATGGGGGGATTGACCCATACAGATTGTTGGATGACAAATCTAAAACTTCCAGGTTTTCCATCTGAGAAAAAGAGCTAGGTATGGCCCCCGTAATGCTGTTCCTGCTCAAATCAAAGACGTGGAGGTCTTTCAGCCTTCCTACTTCAGGTGGAATTGTCCCAGTTATTCTATTGTTGCTCAACAATATTGAAGGAGGGAAACTTGAAGCTTGGTTGTATTGCAAACCACTAGCACTCTGGTTTCGCTTTACATATAGAGGAATGCCAGCAGACGCAGTTAGATGGGGTGAACTGCTGTTTGCAGAGATGAGGCTCTTTAGCTGAGTCAAACTTTGAGGGATCTCTCCAGTTAGGGAGTTATTTGAGAGGTCCAGGTAAAACAAACTCTCCATCTGGCCAATCCAAGAAGGAATACTTCCATCCAGATGATTCCAGGACAAATCAAGAACTTCCAACTTCCTGCATCTCAACAGCCAAACTGGGATTTGGCCTTTGAGAGCACAATTTCCAAATGCTAAGACCATTAAATTCCGAAAACCACTTACATTTCTGGGAATTTCCTCACCAACGAAGTTCTTAGTGAGGATAAGAGTGGAGAGATTCTGGCATTGCTGCAGTACTGTAAGTGCCCCAGATAAGTCCACAAAACTATTGTTGGACAATGAGAGAAACGAAAGTGATGAGAGATTTGCGAAACTCTCGGGGATTTTTCCGGTTAATTCATTCTTAGCCAGGCTCAAAATCTTCAATTCGCGGCAAACAGATAGAGAATTTGGAAGTGGCCCAGAAAGGTGATTAGAGGCAAGATCAAGTGTACAAAGACTAGGCATTCCACTGAAATTAAGATCAATTGGACCAGTTAAAGAATTGTTTCTAAGGTCAAGAATGTGAAGCTTTGAGCAGAATGACAGTGTTGAAGGCAAAGGTCCAGACAACATATTTGAATGGGCAACAAATTGTTCTAGAAATGTAAGGTTGACAAATGCATTTGGTATATGGCCTGAAAACTGGTTTCCATAAATAACCAGGTTTTTAAGATTAAAGAGCTTACTCACTTCCTTGCTTAACTGGCCAGAGAAATTGTTGTTGGAGATAGAGAAGTGCTGCAAAGCTGACATTGAGTATA